ACAAAGAAGACAGAATATATGGAACTTGGAGGTCAAACTTCAGAAACCATATACATCGATGAGAAGCCAATCAAGAAAGCGAGTGCATTCAAGTACCTAGGAAGTAGCATCCTGTCGAAGGAGGTCTTCAAGATGAAATATCTGCCAGGACAAACGCCCTCAATGAAATGGAGAATCTTCACAAGAGTACTATGCGACAAGCGAATGCCAGTGCAATTCAAATCCCAAATATACCGTACTGTGATCCGTCCCACAGCGCTATATGGCTGCGAATGTTGGCCCAGCACACGAAATGAAGAACACAAGCTTATTAGTGTCATGGAGGCAAGAATGCTGCGATAGACATTGGGTATCACCCTTCTAAATCATGTCTGTAATGACATAGATCGTGCAAGGATGAAAGTTGCTCCCATCGTTAAGAAAATGCAGGAAAAACGACTGTATGGTACGGACATGTGAGTAGAAGAGATGAGAACCACATCACAAGAATGGCCATGTCTCTGGAGGTCGCAGGAAAAGGACCATGGGGAAGACCAAAGATTAGATGGATGGACAAAATCAGAGCTGACCTGAAAGAGCTTAGGATAGACGAACATCATGCTTAAATCGAAAATACTGGAGACGGTTGACTCGTACAGCAGACCCTTAAGCGGGAAAATGCGAAGATATGTAAAAATGTGCCGCACGTTCATTCTCCTCCATATGGTTGCATCTTCCACGGCGTGCAGAATAAATTTGTAGGATTTATTGCATTTTCCATGCTCAGATTTCTCAGCGGACACTTTTGGGCCCGAAAACAACGTCATCCTAGCTAATCACATTTCTAGTAATAATTTAGTTCCAATCTTCTATCTTTCTTCAAATCTATTTCCGATGAAGGATTGAACAATATGCGCTTTCGATATGGGTAAAGCAAACCAAACGCATCCTAAGCAGCATGTGTTCATTAGTATTATATAGAGTACCGCATTTGGAATCTCGTCAATTCGAGAGGGTCAGAACGAGTGTTTTGTTGGTAAAATCAAAGGAATACTGATATGAACAAGTTTTTTACACCATGCACGCCTGCAAATACCTTCCTCGCCACCGGTACTCCTTCAAATTTGACCGTTTTTAGGGTCCTTTGGAAAGTGGCCAAAGGTTAAAAAGTTCCTCGTCAACGTCAACCCAACTGACGTGTTCCCATGGTAACGTAATGATTGTCTTTCATAAAAATTAACGAGCATGTTCACAAGAACTTTTAAAAAACTGAGTCGAAAAATGAAAATGACTGCACTTCTTCTAGTACACCTCCAATG